CACACACACACACACACAAACTCGGCAAAAACAATCGCCCGCGGCAGCAGGACCAAACGCTGGAGTGGAAACTGTTGACAGCCCATTCCAACCAACCGTTAATCTTAAAAAGAGCAGGGGACGAAAGCAAAAAACCAATGGTACGCGCTTCGAAGAGCGATGCAGGGCTCCGTGCGGTAGCAGACGGTACCTTGAGATCCTCGCTGCCGACCGCCTTAACGCGGCGAATGGCTGCCACTTTCTCCCAGAGATGCTTGACCGTCGCTACCTTAACCTGACCAAGCGAGATAGAGAGGAATTCCAACAGCATATCAAAGGGTGGGAAAGAAAAACGGCAAACAAGGTAACGATATTTAGGTGGAAATGGGTTCATGACGGAGAACCTATTGCCGCCCGACGGCCACATAATTTGCACGCAACCTCCCGTATTCACTCCGCCGCCCATAATCAAAACTCGCACCATGCCATGAGCCGGTCAATCGAAAATGGTAATAGAAAGACGTGCATGTATGGCCGGCATATATACGACAGAGAGAGAGAGAGAGAGAGAGAGAGAGAGAGAGAGAGAGAGACAAGAGCAACCGATTAAGAATAGGCAGCGCGCGTCAACGCTCCTCTTCGGCTATCGACACAGAACTTGCGTACTGTCGAGAAAAAACATACCACCATTAATCAATATTTGTTGTCAGGCACACATGTCCACATGGGTAGATCAACGACAATTGACAAACACTCACGTCGAGCTGCTCCTTCTGGCTGTCGATGTTGTGCTGCAAGCGCTCGCACTCGGCGTCCCTCTCCCTCCTAGATTCCTCCAGCATCTCCTCGAAACGATCGGCCCTGGCCTTCTCCGTCTCCACGGCGCTGCCCATGTCCAAATCGTTGCCAAAAAAAAGAAAAAGAAAGAAGCGTTGCCGGAGACATGCGGCAGCCACGAAACGCCAGGAAAACGTGAGGAAGAGCACAGCCAGATAGACGGCCTTCGTTAATCAGACCCCATGCGGTAGGAAACACGCACACAGTGAGCCATGTGGTAGCAAGCACGCACGCAGTGACCCATGTGGTAGCAAACACGCACACAGCAGTGCAAGTCTCGCACACAGCTTGCGCGGTGCCGAAGCAACACGGCAAGACGAGGGACACTATCGAAAAATGTTACCGTTGGCTACGCCGATATTTCAGTCGAAGCATGGGACCATAATCGTACAGAAATAGACACTGCGCACATCAGGCGTGAACTACTTCTGTTTCGCCTTTTCCGCCACAGAAAACCCGCCACCCAACCGCTGCCGCCACCGAAGAAGCAAAGCGGCAACACCATGTGCGTGAGGGAATACAAATATGTGTACGTCAAGGGAGGGGGGCACATGCACCAACTCACGCCAGGAAGCGTTCCTCGTTCTGCGAGCACTTCTTCATGATATCGCGGAGCCTCCTAGCCGTCGTCTTCCTGCTCGACTCTGGCAAATAGCAACAACAAACACAGCGAGTGCAAGAGTGAAGAGCGCGAGAGAGAGAGTGGGTGAGAGTGGGTGAGAGAGAGAGGCGGGGAAAGAGATTGAGGGAAAGACGAGATAGATGGGTGGGAGGGGGGTGGGTGGGTGGGGAGGGGGAGACACAGAGAGACGAAGAGAGACGGAGAGGGAGAGGGAGAGAGAGAGAGATGGAACAGCAACGAGAAAGGCAAAAAAACACACCACATGAACGTCCTTTCCGAACAACTCAGGGCCGAAAGCCACCGTTCTTCAACAACCCACACTTGTTCTTGGGTGAACTACCGTAAACCCGCCGAAGACTACAAAAAATACAAAAAATCTATGGTCTACGTACCCAGGTCCTCGATCGTGGATTTGAGCCGCGCCACATCAGTCTCAGCACCACCAAATGTGGCCACCACCGCCCCCGCCGTCTCGTCCCCGCCCCCCTCCGTCTTGGGCAGGGCCGTCAGCTGCGCTTCGTAGTTGGCAGCCTAGTTCAAACAAAGAAACATCGATGTGGCACACGAGTCGAGTTTCAAGCGTAAGCTCGGGGGTGGGTGGGGGGAGGGGCGGATATGTCCTAACAGACAGGTTTGCAGTGACACAAAAAATGGCCATGCGCAGCACGACGAACTGAACCTAAACACCTCTACGGGATACACGTGATGCCAAACCAACTTGTGCCGTGTTCCACGAGCATGTGCACGGGTCGTGCTCTGTGGGACAACCGCAAAATTTACCATGTCCGGTGCGCACGGAAGGCACGCGTAATCTATTAATTGGGACAAGGGTATCTGCTGCTGCTGTTTCTACGGCGCTGCTGCAGGCCTCTACCTACAACCGAACCCCCCCCAAAAAAAGCATCCAGTACCAAAACCCAGTCGCACAGGGCATCACCACAGAATACAACATTCAATCAAGTGCAGAAACGAGGATAAGGCAAGGGCAACCGCCGCAAAAGATGTCCTCGGCCACCACACCGTACGCAGCCTGATCGTGAACCGAAAAAAAAAAATCCAAAAACCATCCCGTAGCGTCGAAAATAAAGTCAAAACCGACAAAAACGCTTCAACGCGCATGCAGCGATTGACTTGCTTGCCTTGGAAAACCACAAGCATCACGCAACACACGCACACACCTGCTGCTGCAGTCGTCCCTCGTAATCGTCACAGATAGCTTCCTTCTCCTCCTCCATCTGACGGCAGCGCCTCTCAGCCTCCTTCTTCGCGGCCTTGGCCTCCTTCAGCTCCTTCGCCACCTTCTCCCGCTTCCTCTTGAGCTCCGAAAGCAGCTTCTCCTACGGACCGAGGCACAGAGAGTCACCAACAAAACAAAAAAAACAAAGGGACAGTCAGACGTCGGGCGGAAGATCAGTCGATTCGTCGGTATTGAGCCGCAAACCGGCCTTTCTCTTTCGCCGTTCACATTTTTATGGAAGTATATGAGCCCAACACAACAACGGACCGACAGACGAACGGTGGGCGGACCGAAGGCCGATCGATCAACATTGAGCGGACCTTTCATATCCTGGGGTTGTTTTCGTTTTATTTTACACATTAGCGCTGTGTCAGGGCGTGCTGCTTTCCGACCATGGCGATCCCTTATCTTGTCTTTGAAGACCGCGGGACAGGAATTGCTGGCTGAATTGACGTAGGAACGGTTTTTTCCATGCATGCAAGTGTGATCCGCACCAACAACCAGGAGTGTCACAGTGGAAAAGCGGTTCATTCGAGAGAGTTCCACAAGCATCAACATTCCGTTTTCCTAGAACTAAAGTTAATGGTTGTTGGAGGGAAGGAGTTATGGCTGTCCGGTGTACACGGCGGTATGGTGTCTCGAACCGAGTAAACGTGTTCCTCTTTTACGAATAATGAAAACCCACCAAGATTTATGGACCATCCAGAAACCCATGACCGAAAATTAACAAAAAAAAGTGAATGATCAGCTCGCCGTATTGTAGGAGGAGAGCGTAGGACAGGGGGCAACAGCGAGTACTCCTTATCAGCGAAACAAGCTATTTCGTACTCCAAAAATAGGTCCCCCCATACGAGTACCTATGTACCTTCTCCTCACGGAACCCCTGCAGCAGGTACGTGAAGTCCTCCTGCCTCGCCTCGAGCACCAGGCACTTCTCCTCCGCCTTGGCCAGAGACATGTTCTTCTTGTCAAGCTCCCGTTTCATGCTCTCGGCCTTAGCGGCCGCGGCGGCGTCGGCGTCGTCGTCGTTCTGTTGGACGGGGTCCGTGCCGGCCGTCACGGCTCTCACCTGCTGGAGCTCGAGCTTTCCCACCTGCAACTTTTTCGTCGTCGCCCACGGGGATGGCCATATTTAGCAGCAAAGGCATGCATCAGCAATAGCAACAGCGGCCGCGGCAGTGTTTGTGGGTTTCGACGCGTCAGTCAAGTCGAGGCGCTGCGTGGCTCTAAGGCAAACGATGAGCCTACAATATTAATAATAGCTCTACAGTTTGAGGGAAGAAAAAAACGTTACCACCACACCACTACCACCACCATCTCTGCCATCCCCGCCATCAACACCAACAACACAATCTCTACCACACCATCACCATCACAACCAACAACAACAGCAGCAATTGCAACACACCTGAGATTCTGGCGACAGCCTGCGAGCAGAAGACACCGTGTTCTCCGGCGAGCACTCCCCTTGCGGCAGCAGCCCTCCCGCCCGGACCGTCTGGACCTCCAGACCTCCGCCTTCCACGGACACCTGCATAAAAACGCGAGAACCAAAGAGATGATCATATTTCCAGCCAACACGTGAAAACGTCGGGAATACGGGTTGTTGCGCATGACTTCCACCAATCAATACGCGCGGACGGACCCGACCTTCAACACACAGCGCCCCCGGAGATACTCCTACACTAGCGTGTTCCAGACTGACATAAACTTACAAGCAGACGTCGACTGCCTCGAGACGGAACGTGGACAATGCGAAAACGAACAGACCGGCTGCCGCAGAAGACGCCGACGCCTCGCCCCTCTCCCCCCCTCCTTGTCGCACCGTACAGCACGGCAATGCCGGCCCGCCACCACCAAACATCGTCACCACAACAAGTAAGAAGTGCAACATCCACGGCTGGGCCGTATTTCTTAAGCCCGATTTCGTACAAGCGGGGGGGGGCGGAAACGTGCGTTTTGCCCCGTGTCTCGTCAATCGCCCAAAAGGTTGAACGCGTGGTTTTCTTTCTTCCGCGCGGCCAGGCTTCGGTCAACGGGGGAAAGGCGCTACCGTATGACGTAAACTGGCGCACCATGACTCAGAAATGCGTGTATATACATATACTCCGCGCACGCAATCACCACACAAGCGGTAACTCAAGCTGCGTACCTTTGTCTGCGCCGGTGTCACCGCCAGGCCGGCCGCTCCCGCTCCCGCTCCCGACGCCGTGGCGGCAGCAGCAGCAGCAGCAGCAGCAGCAGCAGCAGCAGCCTCGGCTTCCCTCTCCTCCTCCTTGACCTTGAGGGCCGCGAGCTCATCCGACACCGTGCCGCACTCGGCCGTCAGGTCCTTTCGCATCAACACCAGGACATCAGCATCAGGGTACAGTTGTAGTACCGACGATGCCCGGCGAGAAGAACGTAACCAATCATCAACCGGCCCCACGCTTGGCGATCTCAATATCCAGTATCGAAACATGGAACTTCAAGGAAAACAAAAGGCGGCATGACGACTGATGATTCATCTAGGCTTCGGCGGCCTGTTCGACGGGAACCCCTGCCCTGGTGAGATTTACTATTAAAGAGGAACGAATTCATCTTGGCAAAGCATGTCACTTCGTCCAACAACAACCAAGTCGAACCAAAGCGCAACAGCAGCAGCGTGAACAACGCCTCGGGCGTCTCTGTTCTCTGTTCTCTGTTCTCTGTTCTCTCTCTCTCTCTCTCTCTCTCTCTCTCTCTCTCTCTCTCTCTCTCTCTCTCTCTCTCTCTCTCTCTCTCTCTCTCTGTCTGTCCCTCTCTCTCACCTCGACCTGCTTGGCGAGAATCTCGACCTTTTCGCCCAGCGTGTCCCTCTCTGCTTCGATGCCCGAGAGCTCTTTTTCCTTCTCTCCAAACTTGGTCTCGGACGCCACTTTTTTTTAAAAGGACCGCCATCTCTCTTTCCGCGGGCCAACAGCAACAACAACAACATCAACAACAATTGGGAATAAGAAACGAAGGGGGCGAGCAAAAGTTGTTAATGACACGACAGGAGCTTCGATCAATGATTAAGGTCACTTCAGCAAATAAACAAGATGGC